TAAAACAGTTTGATTGGATCACTTCTTTGATCGAATGATTAAAAATAACGCAGAAGAGTCATTGAATGTTCCTTTCAAGTGTAGTAACACTTTGCATGATCAGTCGTGCTATCCGTAACCATCGTTCTTCCATGTCAATGCTTTGGATATTATTTCTCTAAAAACGTAACATCTTTCACTTTCTTGTTTTAATATTTAATCCATTGAAATTTTTACTATGACCGTACTTACATAGCGTATTCACATAGTTTTGAACAAGTTATTTCATTTTCTGGATTTCTACTGTATTTATTGTTTCATTCCAACCATGAAACGTGTAATGAAGACAACAACACAACGTTGGTTGTTAATACAATTTTGCCAGCAAACTGCTTTCTCCGCCCTAATTGCGTAATATTTTCGTTAATCAAAATATGTCATGTTAGGACTTTACGTGCTTTAGAACCTAATTTGCGCATGATGTTGTCCCGAATTTGTGTTTATAATAGCACTTAAGCACACTGAACTGCCTAAGTTAGTCTAACATAATATTATACTCATAAGCTTGCAAAGTGGATGAAATGAATGGCAAGGCTAATGGCTATGATTATGTAGTACTATAGACATGGTTACATAGTTATATACACATATTACATAGAATTATAGTGCAAAATTTCACATTTGTGATACAATGTTTTAACCCTTTGCACTCCTTTGTCGAGTGTGACTCGACATTAGTTTTTTGAAAAGGAGTTTGGAGTGCAAATCTAAATGAAATTACTCATCAAAAAAGACAGAAGAAAAAAAGTAGAAGATACTAACACATATAGGTATATATTAATATAGAAGATTACTTTTTAAACATAATAAAAGTTGATTATAAAATATTTATTAATTATGAATTTTAATAAATTTCAGAGAAAAACTATATAATATATTTTTTTACAAGAGCATTTTTGGTAAACTAATGTTTTAATAAACTTTTGGTTTTTGGAATTAATAACTAGTATCAGTGTAATATAAATATTATTGTACATTCATAAATCAAAACATGTACGTAAATTAAAATTTTAGAAGATGCATATTGTTATTAATAAAACGAAATTGTTTTATTTATTATAAGTATAAATCTCTATTTTATTTATCATAAATATAAATCTATATTTCGCATAAATTAAGTATTCATTATAAACAGTAATATCAAATATAAAATATTTAATTTCATTTATAGAAAAATAATTCATATGTGAAAATGATTTGCAATGCTTTTAAGTAGCCATACCATAATGATCTACCACTTTGCTACTGACAATATTATTAATAGCTTAAATCTGAAAAATGTAAATTTATATATTTATAACAGGCATGAAATCGATGTATATTATTGGAAATTCTAGTTCACTAAATACAAAGCATTTATACAATAAATAAACTGTAAGATTAGATTAAATTAATTAATTTAATTAATATTATATTATAATATTATATTATAATATAATATTATAATATTGTAGAGCTAGTTTTGTTTATACTATATAATTAGAAGCTTGTTTATATTATTTAGTAACTACAATTAATAATTACCTTTAGTGAAAATTAATAAGTACTTCAGTTATAATCATATAGTATTTTAAAATTATATATAATATAGTATAAATATAGTATAATATAATATTATAGTATAGTACAACATTGTCTTTTCAAGTTTACAGACAAACATACCACAACACATTGCGTACACCTAAGAAATATCCTGCTTTTTCTTTTTCTTTTTTTTTT